ACGGAGCAAAGGATCTTATTGAAATGGGCACCATAAATTATTGACCATTCACCATGTCATGTTTAGGAAGATATTTCTCTGCACTTCCTTGACACCCTCACTGAAGGACCCCCCCGTTCCCAACCTGCACAGAGGATTTCCACGTTCCGCTTCTGGACGTCAAAGTGACGGTCAGAAGGACAATGGTGGGGATGAATAGGACGCCGCAATGCCAAAGCAGGTTGCGGATGCGTTGGATCAGCACTTCCAGCACAGATGACGCGGGGCAGAAAAACGGGGGCTCATCAGCGATGAATTTCATCCCGGACAATAGATTTCAATTGTCATTGGAATCTAGAATGTTCGGTCCACGATCGTTTGGCTTACAAGTAACAGCTCATATCGCCGGGGTTCGATGCAATGAAGGATTTCTTTTCGCGAGGAAGTGTTCCTGCGAGAGGCAGCTGTATATCATAAGTATGTACAATACCCGAGAAATCTTCACTATACCTCATTTCACCAGAAGCACGTGAAGGTGCTTCCTTGTCAATGTAACCGGTTTCTCGTGAGGTTTGTTGTGAGGTTTGTTGTGAGGTTTGTTGTGAGGTTTGTTGTGAGGTTTGTTGTGAGGTTTGTTGTGAGGTTTGTTGTGCGTTGTCGTCCCTTTATAATGGTCTGCAGGATTGCTGTTGCTCCCATTGAGATCGTGAGTTGCAGTTTACAGCGACCCTCCGAAAGTGTCAGATTGGGCGGCAGTTACACAATCTGTGAACAGGCGGATTTGCAATTTCTTTCAAGCTAAAGGTCGTTGCTTCTCGGAATGTCTATCAAGCCGGAGGATCTATCCATAAGCTCTATAGCAATGCCACAAGCCACTAAATCCGCCGCTCCGTTCATGGCTCATAAGACTTGTCTCTCAGTTGCACTGCTCGCTTCCAGCATTGTGCCTGCCACCATGTTCCCTTCTGTTGGCTTACCAGTGCACATTGTTTACTGGCGCCGCAGCTGGCGGCCCCTCCCCTGTCACATATGCCCTGCTCAACCCGCCGTCGACCACAAACTCAGTCGCATTGACAAAGCTACTCTCATCACTAGCCAAGAACAGCACCGCCTGGGCCTGCTCGATCGCCTCACCAAACCGACCCATGGGAAAATGCACTTCGCGCCTATGTCTCTTTTGCAAATCGTCACCCAACCAGTCCTGCAACAATGGCGTGTTCAAGGGTCCCGGGCACAGGGAGTTGAATCTGATGTTTTCCCGGGCGTGGACAATTGCCAGTTCGCGCGTCATGGCTAATACGGCGCCTTTGGAGGCTGTGTAGGCGAGTTGGGGTGTGGCCGCGCCCACCAACGCGACGAAGCTCGCGACGTTGATCACGGAGCCCTTTTTCTTCTGGTGTCTTCGCATGGATAGTACGGCGTGCTTGCTTCCATACCATACACCCTTGACGTTGATCGCGTGAGTCAGGTCCCAGATTTGCTCGGGCGTGTTGATGGCGTCGTCGTCCTGGGCGTGCATGATGCCAGCGTTGTTGAACATGATGTCGATGCCGCCATGTCGGTCTTGAGATTCGACCGCTGCCTGAACATCGGATTCCTTGGACACGTCGCACTTGATGGTCTCCAGACGAGGGTGGTTGGGGACGAGTTCCTTGACTTTAGCGAGGGCCTTTGCTAGGGCGGGTTCGGAAATGTCGGCCATGAGGACGGAGGCGCCTTCTTTGGCGAAGAGGATTGTCGTTTCCAGACCTATGCCGCCAGCAGCTCCAGTGATGATGGCATTTTTGCCAGCGAGTCGGCCAGGCTTTGATTCAGTAGTCATGCTTGCTGTTTGCCTACTTCTTCTTGCCCAAGGGTTGGAGAGCGACAGTGCAGTCAACGAAGAGCGGGCCGCGGGGGAGAGGCAAAGTGAATAAGTCGGACTTTGAATTTGCAGATGATGTTGTACCAAGAGCGAAGAGAGAGTCGAGCAAAATAGAATGTCAGTCGGGGGATCTCCTTATATAAATCAAATACGCTGCTGTTGGTGGGTGTTGTTGGTAGGTAATGGTGATGATGGTGGTGTTGATAGTGGCATGTGGTATGGGCTCTTGGGCCTCTTGGGCTCCGGGCTCCTCTCTCTGTCCTTCTCCGACGCAACCCGCCAGACATACCCAGTAAAATCTCATGCCCAATGGGGGATTTTTCAAGCTTCACCCGAGAGCTTCTGCGCAGACCTGTCGATCGGAGCACATGGCCGATTGCTCTTATAAGTAGCTACACCCGCAGCCAGATCTCGAGTGAAGATGATACTTGGTACATTTCCCCTGCGTGTGCAGCCTTATCGGCCATAGGTACCGACAATACGTAAGTATTACAGTATACACTAATGTGCATAGTTCCTTGTTCCTGTCTCTGGATGCTCGGTATGTCCACACCGAGCTGCCTGCGCTGGGGTGCATTCTACTGGGTACTCTGTGCTGGGTAGGGCCCTCCGCTTGAATGGAGCTTCAAAGAGAGCTTATCAGCGCCACCTCCACCTCGCAGCCCAGCTTCACTAGCCCGTCCCAATAAAGGAACAAGCACCTGCAACGACACCAATCATCTCCCCCGCTTTCTGGGAGACGCAACCTACAAGGTCCAGTGCTGGACGCTTGGTCCTGCCTCCTTTGTATCTCCTCTGCGCAGCTGCGTCTCCGCTCGTACTCTTCTTTGTCGCCTCAGCCCTCGCCATGGCCAGCAAGAAGGACGGTGAAATACTGACTCTGGACGAGTTGGAGACTGCACTAGCCTCGGATACAAAGATCAAGCTGGCCGGCATTGACATCGACGGCACGCGCCCCAGTCCCTTCTTCTCCTGCCGCCTGCTAACCTCCACAGGGATCCTCCGAGGCAAGTTGGTCTCCAAGAAGAAGTTCCTTTCCGTTGCCAAAGATGGCTTCGGCTTCTGCAGCGTCGTCTTCGGCTGGGATATGCACGATATGACCTACTTCCGCGAACTTGAGATCAGCAATAAAGAGAATGGATACAAGGATTTGGTTGCCAAGGTAGACCTGTCCAGCTACCGGCGCATCCCCTGGGAGAACAACGTACCTTTCTTCCTCGTCAGTTTCTACGACCCGGACACCGACAAACCCGTCTGTGCCTGTCCCCGAAGTCTGCTACGGACGGCTGTTGCGAACCTGCACACTGCTGGCTATGGAGCCATGGCTGGCGCAGAGTACGAGTTCTTCACATATCGGGCTCCCAGAGACGAGTCGATCCAGACGAGCCATAATTCCTCTTCCACTACAGCTCCTTTCCTCCAGAATAATCCCGTCCACGCCCTACCGCACCTGACTCAGGGGATGTTCGGCTACTCCCTAACAGATCCCATACACAATCAAGATTGGTTCTACAGCATTTTCAACACCTGTGAACAGTTCAGATGTAATGTGGAAGGCTGGCATACAGAATCAGGGCCGGGAGTCTTTGAAGCGGCCCTGGAGTTTGGCGAAGTCACTGAGATGGCTGACCGGGCAAGCTTGTTCAAGTACGTGGTCAAAGCCATGGGAAGCAAGTACGGTATTACGCCCACATTTATGGCCAAGCCCAAAGAAGGGCTGCCCGGTAACAGTGGACACATGCATTGCTCCATCGTGGACAAGGTCTCGGGAAAGAATCTCTTCTATCGCGGTGAGAAGGACCCTAACCCTCCTTATAAGGACCTCGAGTATGTGTCGGACCTGGGTCGACATTTTCTGGCAGGACTACTAGATGGTCTTGCTGATGTCATGCCAATCATTGCACCCACAATCAACTCCTACAAGCGGCTGGTTGAGAACTTCTGGGCTCCAGTCACGGTTTCTTGGGGTCTTGAACATCGAGCTGCGTCTGTTCGGTTGATCGCCCCTCCGACAGCATCCGCAAAATCCACGAGATTCGAAGTACGAGTCTGCGGCGCGGATGCCAATCCCTCTTTAGTACTGGCCACTATCGTCGCTCTCGGCTGGAGAGGCATAGAGAAGAAACTAGAGATTAAACTGCCACCACTCGGTAAAGGTGAAGAAGTCGGGAGTCTCAATGACAAGGGAGAACGACTACCCAAGAACCTCAGAGATAGCACGGCACGATTCATGGCGAAGGGCAGTGTCGCCCGGGAAGTGTTTGGTGACGAGTTTGTCGAGCATTATGGTGGTACCAGAGAACATGAGTTACGATTATGGGATGAGGCCGTTACGGACTGGGAGGTAAGAAGGTATATTGAGACCGTATGAGACGATACCCACTGGATGATTTGAGCAATGCTTTCTCTACGATGCAGGAAATCTTATGATGCCTTTCGAATACGAAGCTCCAAGGCGGCCTACACCGTTATCGCGTACAATCTGGTTCGCAACGGAACAGAGCGTGGTAATATCAAGATGACCATAGACGAAAACCGAGGCCATTGCTTGACCAAACGACAGTCACTAGATGAATGAGGGCCAGAGGACCCTAGCCGGAAAAGAGGCGTCCTGGGCTATACAAGTAGGCAGACAAGCTGCCACCTGCTTTTGCAACATGCCGCACTACACCCGTTTTCCTTCTCCGCCTTTACGTCCAATATCCTGTGAAAGGCCAACGGTAAGAACTGGATTTTGCCCCATTTTCTTCACCAGTGCATTCCTATTTCTGGTTATTGAGGTGAAATGCGCAACAAAAAATGACTGGCGTGAATGGATTTCTTTGTGCCAGACCTCTCAACACTCAATGGACTATTCAACTCACCTCCGTCATTGTCTTTCTTCATGTCTATTGTCCCGGATGTGTCCAATTTTGGAAACATCTTCAACAATGGCTCTCTCTGGTGCTCTGCTAGCTTCTATTCCTGTCGCCCTTGAAATGCTTTTGCTGCAACCTCTTTCTCTCTTCCTTGTCAATCTTCCTTCCGATTGCTCCTACGCTTGTATATACGCTTGCCAACGCTTTCTATCACGCCTGTGCTTGTTCTTGCACTTCTCCCTTCAAATACTTCCACCCCATTCTCGTCCTTATAGGGTTGTTGCCGAACGCGATACACAATGAGCTCCCCTCAACAGGGCCCAAGGAGAGGCCAGAGGACGCGGAAGGCAACTGCAAAGGGCCGCAATTATATAGATTCCCTTGTCAGCAAGGCTGCGACCAGACGCATTCAGAATGCTCAGGCTCAAGCTCAATCAACCGCCGTGGCCAATACTCCTGTAACTAACACTACCAATAGGGCTACCTCTAGCCAAGGCGATGCCAACGGGGGGGCTCGGAGGTCAAAACGAAGCCAAGGGCGGGTCGATGGCAAAGCCCCAGATGGAACGTCCTGCAACACAGGGAGATCCAGCAAGCGGCGTCGAGTGTCTGGACCTGGTCCTTCACTCGAAGGATTCATGATCAAGCTGTACGCCGAAATCCACCATGCCGCTACAGTTAGGACGATGGGACAATGGGAGCGCTATTGGACACAGCGTCTACTTCGACAACCCCGAACCCTACGCTTCTTTGATCTCTCGGCAGTAAGCACTCGTCGACCTTTAAGGGAAAGGCTGAACAAGTTTGAAAGCACCGATCCTAAGGCGAAGAGGGTTGCTAACCTCGCAAAAGATGACGTAAACATCGACTATGCCCAGAGGCTGACAGATCTCTGCGATGAGCCAAACCTTCTCCTTCTGACTATTTGTGCACACTCCAAAAGCTTCCGCGACGCAGTTGCTCGCAGCGACGCGGAGAGCAGAGCACAAGGGAAACCCGAATGGAGCGACATCTACCCCCGAATCAAACAGTGCGCGTCAAGCCTGGAACTCTTTGCCAGAACGCACAAATTCGAGTGGAAAGACGCCCTCTTCACCTTCAACGACCACTTTACCGATCTTCTTAAAATTGTATATAAGGACTGTCGAGACGTCCATGGCAAGGACGGTTTCAATTTCGGAATCGGCCAGAAAGACCTCAGAGAGATCCATCAGATCGGCGCCGAAGACAAGCACATGGTTCAGCATCACTGGGTTTTGCCCCCCGTGGACGGGGAACCAGCTGTCTGGCCATCAGTCAAATGCACCATCACACAAGACGTCATCAGGGCCGGATTTGTCGACGGCGACCTCGCGATTGCAGGCATTCCAGAGGAGGGAGATAACCTTGAAATCAACCCGGCGTCGATACTTCCACCGAACTCGAAGGTCACGCTCCAGCAATTCAACATTGAGCAATGCGTCGTCCTTCCGGACTATCCCTGGCCCGAGGAGACACACAAGGTGGTCTACGAAGATGGCGCCGTCTACGAAGACCCAGCCTTCTGCGGGTTCCCAGGAAACCCTTGCACAGCGTGCGGAGCCGAAGAACCCGAACCCGCGCCTGTCATCTCGATTAACCACGACACTGACGCTGACGGCGAGACCGACTTGGATAGCGCCGATGTCGCGGCTCCAGGGAATGAGCAGCAGCAGTCTTCGGGCAGAGCATGCAAATGCACATTCGCCGATCTCTGCAAGCGGCACAACAAACCCCCGCAGGACAGCCACCACGACATCCTTGTCGAGCTGTATACCACCAAGGAGAAAGGCAGGGGTGTCCGCGCGCTCCAAACGATTCGGCCAGGCACCTACCTGGGCGAATACACGGGCGAGATCTACGCGGTGCAGCCGGCCGCCAACAAGATCGCCGGCTCGATGCAAAACCACCGGTACGGGGTCATGACGTACCACATGAACATGGACATCGAGCGGGCGGACGACTACGCCGCCACCGGCGCCAGACGCAAAGGGGGGAGTGTCAAGACGACAATCTCGCGGGGCCAATACCGACCGCAGTATACGATTGACGCGACGCACAGGGGCAGCTGGACGCGATACATCAACCACTCGTGCGCGCCCAACACAGCCTACGTCGTCGTGAGCCTGGGCCAGCGCACCCGCGTCGTGGTCCGGGCGAGGCGCAGGATCGCCTTCGCGGAGGAGCTCACAGTCGACTACGGTAGGGGCTACTTTGATAACCTGCGCATGGTGTGCCGCTGTGGGGAGCCGAGGTGTAGGCACAAGACTGTTGTTGACCGAGCGAGCGCGAGCGGAAGGGACAGCGAGAGTGAGAGTGGGAGCGGTAGTGGGAGTGGCGAGGCTGAGGAGGAATAGGGGTCCGATGTGGGTAACAGGGGGGAGAAGGGGATTGTTTTCCGCACAGCGACATCTTTCAAGTGTGAAGGATAATGAATGCATGCATATAATCGTTTCTTGAGTCTAGAGTTCATTTCATTTCGATCCTCTCCTGGATATCGCTTTGCTATGCTATGGCTACTGTGAAACACGCCTTCCGCATTCGTTGAGCATCTGACGAGGCTGTGCGGTCTGTTTAGAGGCCTGAAAAAAAAGGAACTTTTATGAGTGTGGTTGCCATTTAGAGGCACGCCCTAACATCTATCTTGTGGATATCGAGGGCGGGAATGTGACCTGTTCTCCAATCTGCTTGCTCGTTTACACCCGTGTACCGTTTCGTAAGATGTTGCCGTTTCCCTCGATATAGACTTGCTCACTCAATAAGAATAGTCAGCCTCATCTCCTGCAACAAGGTTTGCCGACCATTTCTCCAGTCAGCGCCAATAACGGAAGCCCCGGTCTTCAAAGAGCACAGCACTCATGATGATCGCTCAACAGGACCGCTTATTCTTGATTTTCAAGAGGATCTCAGGTGTCTTCTGAGCTCAGAGTTCTTCAAAGCAACCTGCATTGCGTTGGAATACGTTCCGCCTTTGACAGTGCCATCAGCTCCATGATCCAGCGGCATTCGGACACTCTCGTGATAGCCCGCGTCACACGTCGAAGTCGAAGGGGTACCAAACAATGTTGTGGTGGTACGTACGTCTGCACCCGCTGTGGGGAGGAGCATCGCTACCTCCTTATCTCCTCCCCAACACGCCCATTGCAATGGTTTTAAACCGCTGTGCCTACCTTCATTCACCTCAGCACACAGGAAGACACCTGCTGTGAGTGAATGGACTCGAGGAGATCTCTGAAATCTAACTGATCGTATTGTAGTTGATTACGGTCTCGGAGCTGTAGGATATCCACGGATAAAATGAGGCTGCTGCGCAGGTAGTGGACGTCTTCGTCTAGCTTCTGCAAAACAACTTTTCGGAAAGGGTTGGCAGCTAGGCGACTGAATGAAGTGACATTACCCTTGACAGTTCCAGCAGATTGTAGCTAAAAATTTTCTGCTTTTATCTCGCAGCTCTTCAATCAGCTCAGCACACCGCTTGACTTTGGAATTCGATCCTGGTCTTCGTAACGGAATTGACGGTCTCTCAGGGAGTTTTGCAGGAGCTGCAACAGATCAAGAAGGCTTTGCAACCTTTCCAAGGGTCAGGAGATATCCGCATCTTTCGTCTTATGGGCAGTATAGAATTGGATGAGGGATCCTGTGACTTCAAGGTCTAGCGAGATCAAGCCTGCAACGCCGCCGGAAATTGAGAGTGATTTTGCCGTTTTGCACGGGATGGTCTGCGCGAGAAGCTAATAGTACCTAGGTACTTAGCAAATGGGACCCGAAGCTTGGAAGCTTGAGATCTGACGTGATATTACCAAGATGTGGGAGGCACCGAGACGACGCCAAGGTGTGACGAAAGAGGAAAGAAGTACGTTTCGGGTTCCTGATGCGAGTTGACAATCCACTTTCAGCCTCACGAAGCCGGCGAATGACCGGCCGCCAATGGAGACACTCTCTCCAATCACATCTCGTAAATTCTGGGCAGCACGAGGCTGTGCGTTCCATCTGTTATGCATGAGTACGGCATACCAACAGAGTACGGAGAACATGTTGTTTGTGCCTTGTGGTCACCTTACGCCAAGGGCAGGAGGCGTATCAGAGGTAGCATGACGCCCTCTCGGCGTGTTGGCATCGCCCCGAGCGTCCCTCTGGCAATAACCTTCTATTTCCAAGCACGCGAATACCACCATGCGCTTACTCAAGATTCGTGGCCAGGTGTAAATAGGCCGGTTGCTTGGAAACGAGTTTGATTGGGGCCGAAGAGAAAGGATGCTGACTACTGGAGTACATAACTCAAATTCCTCTACCAGGTCTAATTACCTACTGCGAGGCTCGCTTGGCTAGCGTGATCCTTGTGGGGCAAAGCACAATTCTCCTTTTCTTGGTGCCACATGTGGGACATTGTGCTTTATGCATATCTGGCTGCACAAAGCCCGTATTTGCTGAAGTTCCCCCAAAAAATATACCTACATGTAGGAGTAGATGGAGCTCATTTCGAAGAGTAGTCTGAAGTCCTCCGTAGGGCAGCTAAGAATTTCCGGTGATGGCTTGCCATCGATTAATCATCTTACATACGTTGTCGGAGCTTCGTCCCCTCGCCGCCACTTGTACTGGGTATCTAGTGAATCCGACCGACGGGCTTGGACTTTTCCCGCCAATATTAACTATGGAAGCTATGGCACGCCTACAGCTAAGTATATTTTCTGATTGTCAGCCCCATCTTCTCGTGTCCTATGAGCCACTGTATCGACTAGAGGCTTTCTCTCGTCGTATTCGCTGACTTGGCAACGGCATTCCTCCGCCATGGACTTCAAAAAGGATGGTGGCCCCAGCATAATATCAGTTCGAAACCAACCCAAACCATGTCTGCATCAACAACGGCCAGTTCAAAAGTCGTCGAGGTTAACGACACCGCACTCTCCTATCGTGAATGCGGGAAAGGCGAACCCCTGGTCTTGCTCCACGGTCATATCTCTGATCAACGAACCTGGATTGATCTCGAACACAAACTCGCCACGCGATTTCATGTCTTCAACTACAGTCGACGCTTTGCCTGGCCAAATGAGCCCGTCAAGGACGGTCAAGGCACACCATGGGAGCAAGACGCCCTCGATTTGGCCGCCTTCATCGAGACCCTGAACATCGGCCCAGTACATGTTCTGGCGAACTCGTCTGGAGCGGTCATTAGTCTCTACCTGGCACGCAGAAAACCTCACCTTTTTCGAAATTTGATGGTTGAAGAACCCCCTCTTGTTGGGCTCTTCCTCCCAACTCTCCCTCCGTCTTTGCCTTCGGTGCTCTCTTTCCTTCTTTGGCACCCAGTCACGTTTTGGCCTGTGATGTATTTCGGTGCCACAATGACAGCCACAATGATCCAGCATTGCAAAAAGGGAGAGTTTGATCAGGCCGTATCTGTATTTTGCAGCGGAGTCATGGGGCCAAAGTTCTGGCCTCGCATTCAAGCAGACGCGGACCGTCTGCGCCAAGTCGAAGATAACGCCAAATGGCTGTGCAATTTCTTCCGATACAATACCATGCCCAAATACTTGGCAGAAGACGCGCAGAATACCAAAGTGCCGATGTTAGTCATGGCCGGGAAGGAAAGCGCCGCTCATCAGAGATATACAGTCCATGAACTGTTTAGGGTTAGCGGCGCGGAAAAGAAGAGGATCGCATACATTGATGCGGCAGGACATCTTATGCATGAGGATAACCCGGAGGGAGTTTTCAACGAGGTTGTGAGATTTATCTTCGACGACGCAGCTGCGTAAAATAGAATATCGAAATTTCGAGGATGTCCCGGTTGGGAATTTGATATAAAGTTTTGTCTCGATGTGTCCGTTCTCACGATAATATATATACTTTTAAACTGGTGTTTTGGTCGGTTACCAAAGGAGCAAAAAAGTACAAAGGGTAATGATTGACCAAGCAAGGCTGGCAGTTGGCACAGCCTTGTACGTCGCCAAGCCAAGGCTCCAGCTGCGCTCTCCTCCAACCCAGATCGGTCTTTTGCTCTTTCTCCAATCAATGCCGAAGGGATGAGCCTGCCATGCCCTTACCGGCACGTTTCGTATGCAACATGGCGCCTGGGTGTTATCCGTACTCTGTGTCGGTCCTTCGACGAGCCTCATCTCAGACCGTCGGCCTCCATCCGACGAGAACACACGAAACCTCAAATACGGAATGCTGGTGATTCTAGATCCGCGACCAAGAATGGCGATGGGCCAACTGCTCAACATGGGCCGCCGCCAGCAATTCCGTCTTCTAGAGAGGCCAAAAAGAGAGATTCGGGGCGAGGCGAGTCTTTCAATCCATACAGCGGGCCCGGCCGTCAGGCCATCAAGGAGTTACTGTCGGACCTGAAGAAAGCAAGCAGAAAAATTCAGCTGGGCGATGAAGATATAGAATCTTTTCCCTTTGGATCACACAGATCATTGGTTCTTGACTCGTCCGGAGATGGAGATGGAAATATACAAAATTGCTCTCGCCAGCAACCTTTGGCGGACGTACAATTGCGAAAGTATCATTCAACGCAAGAAGAGTCTTTTGTTGCATATAATGCGGAGGGACGTCAAGCTATCAAAGATCTGCCCACTAAGCTCCAGGAAGGCCGCAAGAAGATTCAACCTCGCGATGGAACAGGCGACAATTCACGCCTCAAAGGAGAAAGCCTGCCAACCCTCCAGTCACCCATCATCGCACAGGTCGAGAACGCTGCAAGGCGGCGGGAAGAAAGGAAAGAGCACCCATCTTATCGACGCATAAAAGGACTGAAGAATAATCCGTGGGCAGAGATCCTCGCAAGTCCACTTCGAGCGTGTCAAGGTAGCGGTGCGAGACTGCCGCAGGACCTTTTGATGGACTTTGGATACGTCAAGAATCAAAAAGACGGCAAGATATATCTTATGCCGGCAAGTCTTGCAGACTTGGATGCCTTGGAAGCAAAATTGGCAGCAGAGCTGGCAATAGTGGAGAGCAGATCACCACAACTCCGTGATGGAACGGAAATGAAAAGAGACAATCAATTCGTCACAGACGACGGCATGACCGAAGATGACGATGAGCCAGATGGGTTTCCGCGCAGTTCTCCTGGAGCTGCCCAGAAGTTCACAAACTATTCAGCGACATCTCGAAAATATATCCCCACACAGAGCCGTCTATTATCCAACCTCACTTTCCTCCGCCTGCTGACCAGTAAAGTAACGCGACCGGTCAAGAAAACATCCAACTCCCCTTCACCGACTAAATTCGAGACAATGTCCGGGGAGGTGGGCAAATTAATCCACTTCGATGCCCGTGAGTCCACATCAACAGCACAACATTATCTACAAAACAAATATCGATTTGACTCCGCGATCGATGGCGAAGATGCATCTGGAAACAACCCCTTGGGCCCTGATTTACCTTCAGCCGGTCGAATGAAAGGAAGGTTTAACTTGAACAGATTGCAATGGCAGCCGGATGTACATCTTCGGGTTGCAGATATTATGCGAAAACGCATTTTCGCTGCCATGAAGGCCCTGGCTGATTCGGAGTCTGCTGTCAAGTCTCAGGCCTTGCCCGCGAGGCCATCAGGCGTCATTTCCCTCCCAATCCCTCAGGACGGGATGTTCAAGGGTGAAGAGCTGCGGCGATTGATGATGGCAATGTCCTCTACGACCACACCTGCCGGCTTAAAGATCAGAGCCGTTGCCGGCAAACCGAAAAGGGAACCATCTCCCAACTCTACGCCTTCTTCCACTTCAAATGCGGAGGTGGACCCTTTCACGACAACTCATTACCCTCCTTCTACGGCCGAAGAAGCAGAGTACCACGCCCTTGGCCACTCAGAGTGGCTGCCGGGAAGCATCTTCCTACGAATCGGCAATGATGGCATTATATCTCCCGCCTCTTCACACTTTTCACCATCGTCCCTCCCACCTTTGCCTTTAGACAACCCCCTCATCCCTCCCATGATCACTGTCCTAGATACATATCGGTTCCCGGTCTTCTCCCTCCGCCGCCTGTTCGCGAATGCACCCGGACCTGGAATTTCCGACATGGAAGAACTCAATAGGCTGATAAGACAACAGTCAATCTTTCAACCTCCCAATGAGGCGTCAATCAGTAGTGAGGACGAAAAAGGAGACTACCTCCTCCTGATACGCCCCCTGCCCGGCCCTGCGAAGGCGGTCATTGAAGAAGTCTGGCGTCTGTGGCGGTATTTGGGCGGCCGGAACTTGGATCTGAACTTTGCCTCTGTGACTGAAAAGCAGTCGAGGGAAGACAAGGCGCGGGAGAGTCCCCCCCAAGAGGGTAGCGCTCCGTTGATATCATAGCAGGCTCGCTGGCTAGATACAGAGTGTAACAAAGTGTACTTTAATACAACAACAACTGCTAACCACCTTTGGGAATCTTCAACTGAATGTCGCAAAGGAAAATTGGAACAGGCAGCCATGTACTCTGTGTTTCAGGTTAAAAGGTTGATCGACAATACCCTTCCGACTCCTATGTTCCATCATTCATTGAATCCTGTGTGCTCTTCAAACTAGTGACGGCAGCCATATTCAGGCGCCTGTCATGCAAAGCAAGGCCTTAAATCGACAACAAACACCGTCCCTGCTCGCTACCAAACTGGTATCCCCCCCATAGACTTAAAAAAACGCTGGATCAAGCCGGAACAAATTTTCCAGGCGCCCCCTACGACTATTCCGCGCCCGTGGCTTCGTCGCCGTTGGACGCCCTAGCAATACATAATGAGAACATGATTCGATGGTCGTCACTTGCCCGGCAGACAAAGATGTTGGGAAAACACGAGTAGCTCCCACAGCGCTCAGTCGACGGTGTCAAGCCCCATGTTCTCATCAAAGGCCTCAAGTATCTCTTCCACAGTTGGCATCGAAGATTCTGGTTGAATGAGCTCCTCAGGCTCCGGACTCTAGCCGACCCGGTATGCATCGTAAATGACTGTCCAGGTGTTAGTATGATGTTGGCTTTGGGTGACTGATGCATCGACTAAGATCAACTTACTTTCACCAACTCTCCGACTTCCACTTCCCACCCAAAGGCAGGTATTCAGAAACGCATACCTCTCGTCGCCAGTCTCAAGTTCGACAGTGATGCGGAACTTGTAATGGTTGGCGGGGATGGTGTCCGCAACCAAGGGGTCATTGAGCCGTTCGAGAACGTCTTTGGGACCGGTACGCCAGCCCCTGGTTTTTGCTATAATGTACGCCACAGGATCGTCGTTGGTTTGGAGCAGATAGTGGGCGTCGCTGCGAGTTGAATAGTCCTTCACCACAAGTTGATTGTCTAGGCCGCCAGGCTGGAGACAGCGTCAGCTGATGAACATTTTCTTGAGCATTCGTATGTTGGGACTTACAATGACAATACCTTTGCCCCACCGTCCAGCCCACTGGCCCCCTACAACGCCGACCCAGTCGCGATGACCCAACAGACCTGATCCAACACCAATCTTGGGATTGACCTTGATGCTCATGCGGAAGTCAAGCTCAAGGGTAGGGGTCGGCAACTGAAGGGAACGGGCAATATCACCTTCGTCGAATCTATGAAGAAGGTTGTTTGCCGGTATCGATTCCTTCATGACATTTTGATAGGTGGCGCACTCGAGGAGGTGCTGGCGCTGTCTCGAGGTGTTCTTCGCTCTGATCTGGTTGCAGTAGATGCATTGTACAGACAGGCACTTGTCCTCCTCTTTGGCTCTGAACTCGACAAAGGCAGCATGGACATCATCCAGAGGCGGCGCGGGGAGGTTGGAGCCAGGCGTGAGCTTGGGGGTCTTTGTGGGCTTCGGGGTGTGGCGTTGGCTCGGGGTGGTAGAGGCGGCTGGCTGTGAGATGGCTGTGCCGTTGGAGATTCCTTGCATAGGAGTGCTACTGGCAGCGATGCCATTGTTCATGGGGGTCGTCGAGCTGTGCGAGATGGACGGCGTGCCGAAGCCATTTCCCGCGCCGATGGCATCGCCAGGAGAAGACTGTGGGCGAGGGGCACTTGGATGGTTCTGCAGGCCAGGGCACTCGAGCAGATGTTGCTTCTGGCGCGACGTGTTCTTTGCACGGATCTGTTGGCAGTAGATGCATTGCACGGACATGCATTTATCGTCCTCTGTGTGGAGACGCGAGGTCAGTCAGCTGTTCCTCTTGACGGTAGCCGTACAGGTATGTTGTATCATGATACGCGTACACGATGTATAGTACATACAGTATAGTCAAATACTGAGGGTGACAAGTGACAATACTGCCTGCAGACGTACCTTTGGCCTTGAACTCGACGAATGCCGCATGTACATCCTGGTCAATGGTACGCCCCATGGTCGAAGAGCAACAAGATCAATGAGACTGGAGGTGGCACTGGATTGAAGCAGCGTGATCGGTACGGGGTGCAGGTGAAGTGGTCTGCTGAAAGAGAGAGCCTTTACCAGCGAGATTGAGGTGTCAGGGTGTCAGTCCTGGTCAGAGTGTTGGTTCAGTCACGGGCCACGGGCCGATGACCTGCGCGGGCCTGTGACATGCCGTGACTGCGCTTCTTCCCCTCCCCCTCGCCCTCCAAGAACAAGTAGAAACTGCGCTAGTAAATTTACTCAGACCATCCATAGGTATCCCTTGCTCAGCTTGCTCATCAGCCCGTCAGGCCTGAACACCCTGCCACATTGACCACGGAGTGTCGCCGACTTCACTCAACTCCTTCGCGCCGCGACAACATGTCCTCTACAAAGCTTGCAGAGAAAGCCCCCCATCTTGGGTCTTCCAAGCTTCCGCCATGTCGGTTTTGCGTCCCCCGCGAGAGGGTATTACTCTGGAGTACCTCTTCAGGCCCGCCCATCGTGTGTTGCTGCAGCCATTGGTACCCGCATCCCTACTTCTGCTGCAGCTGAAATACCCTGGGGTCTTTCAGAGGGCTCTTTCGCTCATTGGAACGAGTGTCGTTCAATCCAAATTCATCAACCCAGCGCTCGTGGGACTGCTCACGTTGGGCATATTGGATAGACTGAACACATACCTCAGCCGACAAGTGCTCAACAACTTCGTGAGAGACAAGTCATGGGACTGGGATCGCGAGATCCTTCTGATCACTGGGGGCTGTTCCGGCATTGGGGAAGAGATGGTTCGACAGTTTGCCGAGCGGAACATCAAAGTCGTCATTCTCGACGTTAACCACCCCAAAGCGCCACTCCCTGCCTGTGCCACTTTCTACAAAACTGATGTGACCTCATCGCAAGATATTCGAGATGTCGCTGTGAAGATCCGCAAAGACATTGGGCACCCAACAGTGCTTGTCAACAATGCCGGAGTCGCGAATGGGAAAACCATCCTTGACGAAACCGAGGAGGAGCTCCAACGCACCTTCGATGTCAATATCCTTGCCCATTTCAAAATGATTCAGGAGTTCTTGCCGGATATGATTAAGAAAAACCATGGCCATGTGGTCACGATTGCGAGCATGTCGAGCTTTGCCACGTGGGCTGGCGTTACCAGCTACGCTGCAACCAAAGCAGCAGCACTTGCGTTCCATGAAGGACTGGCGCAAGAGCTGAGGGCAAGATATCGTGCTGCCAAAGTCCGCACAACGTAGGCTGACACTTGGTTCAATCTTCTCGGAACTGATGACAATGCATAGGATCGTGCATCCCGTGTGGGTACGGACGCCCCTTTCCCACGGCTTGGTCAAGAGAATGGCTTCCAACCAACTTCTGCTAGAACCCGGCACGGTGGCAGAAGCAGTTGTCTCGCAGGTGCTTAAGTGTGAGGGCAACCAGCTTATACTGCCAGCCCGGTTTAACTTTGTGCCATTCATGAGAGGCTGGCCGAGCTGGTTGCAAGAAATTGCCCGGAGTGATGGTGCACAAGTCATCCAGAGTCACAACTGAGTCATATGCAAGAGGGCACAAGGCTCGAACTCGCCCGGTCTAATGCTTGGATCGTACAAGGCTGGACGAGGGAATATCTCGGCATCTATATCCATGTATCGGCCGATAGCGATGGAGCTCAACGTTAGCCAACGGTTTCCAGGCTGTAGAGGATCTTCGTAGTCTCAAATCAAAGTGTTTTGTTTCATTACCAAAGCGAAAACGGAGACGTTCCGCTCCCCCCAGCAAACAGCTTAGATAAGGTGATCTTTTGGTGATCCTCGCGTGCTTAGCTCAGTCGTCTCCACGCAGATCAGGCACAACTAATATAGAGAGGGGCAAACCCAGGAAATAACAAAGAAGTCGGACTTCTCATTCTTGCACATCATCAGTTCGGGAAGCTGGAGGATCCCAAGAGTATAAAGAAAAGCGAAAGGGGGGACGTCGGATGAATGCTTCGACGTAACAACGGCTATACAAGCACCACGACAATTGCATTTATATCGGTCTTGGGCATCTTCCTGGCCGCAGCAGCTGCACACCTATTCTCCCTTGCGTATCCGCGCATCTGCGACGGCGACGCGGTGGCTGCCCTGCGCCTTTTCAGCCCTTTCCGATCTCTCGCGGGCTCGACCAGATCCTTCTCAGCGGCTCGAGGGGCAACAATGGCTAACCGGACGCCCGTGTACTTCGTTTCTCATGGTGTAAGTTCTCTTTGCGGCCTCCGTTTTCGTGGATCTTGTAGATGACGCTTTCGTGTCGCCATAATCCACCCTTTTGCTGATAGAAACCTCAAACGGCCAGGGCCCGGACACAATGTTCGACACCAAACACCCCGTCTACCCCCAGCTGCAGCGTCTCGGGCGGGAGATCACGCAACAGGTGAAGCCGTCGGCCATCGTGGTCTTCTCCGCGCACTGGCAGGCCGATCGGCCCAACACGATCGAGGTCAACGTCGCGGAGGACGAGCCGTTGATCTACGACTTCTACGGGTTCCCTCGCAGCTACTACATGGAGAAGTTCCCCAACAAGGGCTCGGCAAAGGTTGCGCGACGGGTCATTGACGTGCTCGAAGAGCATGAGATCAAGACGGAGAAGGCGGAGAGGGGGTTGGACCACGGCGTCTTCGTGCCCTTCAAGGTCATGTTCAATCCCGAAACGAATCCCGTGAACGTGCCCATCGTCCAGGTCAGTCTCTTTGACGACCACACCGACGCAGCCGCGCACATCAAGCTCGGGCGTGCAGTCCAGAAACTGCGAGAGGAGAACATCCTCATCATATGCTCTGGCATGAGTGTGCACAACCTGCGACATCTGATGATGTTGGGCAGGGGTTCGGATAGGACCATGCCCTATGCGGTGACGTTCGACGAAGCTTTGAAGGTCGCAGCGGAAACGAAACCCGGGGAGCAGAGGGACGAGAACATGATTGGGTTGTTGGAAAGGGATGACGCGAGACAGGCGCATCCGACCTTTGAGCATCTCTTGCCGATCCATATTGCCACGGGTGCGGCGGGAACGGACCAGGGGAAGCAACTGTGGACAATGCAGGAAGCGAGCATGGGTTGGGCGCAATATAGATTTGGAGAGGTGGGAGCTTGAAGTGTAGGACGAGTCAAAAAAATGGATCTTCTGTTTTGGCTGTCGGCATGCAGTCGTATGTACAATCGAGTATTCTTTGCCACGCTTTTCTTCTTTCTAGCGTCGTCGAACCATGTCGGTAACTTCCCTCCATGGCCCAGGGAACTGGGTGTTGTTATACATTCCAAGTTGTCCGAGCTAGGCCGACTCGAGCTCGTTCAGCGGGTTTATTCGCTCTTGACCAAGGTCGTTACTTTGTCTTCAATCTCCTTGTCTGTAAGACCTGCCACGGATGGTAAGAACCGAGAGCGACTCTTGTTTATGCATTAAATCTCACCTGATAGCGACTCTGACTTCTCTCTTCCGAGTCCTGCATCGTCCAACGATCAGCTTTTGTGAGAGCCAGCGCGTCTGCGTCCAAAATTCATACCATATCTTGCCCACACCTTGGGTTCGACGCCCGTAGCTTCTCGTATTAAGATGGGAATGGTGGGATTGTGATGTTTCATGGTAGGATATGCTCGCTTGAGAAAGGATCTAGATCACAGTTTAGTTTTCTGTGTAGGAGCTTGGACACGCCGCCGCCGCCGCCGCTGCTGCTGCTGCTGCTTCGAGAGCGGTACGCACCTGCAGGCTTCGCTTCCTTGACCCGAATTGCTAAGGTGAAACCTCAATTCTCTCAAGCCTTGCGTAAAGGCGTATTTGGTCGCCATCGTGGCGCTCCAGATCTAGCCGAGAATCAAAGGTGCTCTGGAGGAAGCTGTTCGCGCATTCGTTTGGAGTCAACTTCTAATGAGCAAGTGTAGGTGCAACTGGTTCAGACCTCCGAATTGGAGCTTGGCGGTATTGACTTCCGAAATATGACCATCTGACGGGATTATATTTTGAGTTACGGAAGGTAATCTTGGTTTTGGTCTGTCAGACACGGTCACAACCTGTACTTGGTATGGTCACAGAGACTTTGGCGCTGAGAAGACGGAGATTGTGAAAACGATTTGCCGGAGATCTGACTCCTCATCTGGGAACCCGTCTCCCATCTCCCGCCGTGGAAATCCCAGCATTCGACTCACCACTCTTCATCCTTTCAGCTTCAACTCCTTCCAGGGCGACAATCTCCACTCCTTTACTGCCACCTCCGTCGCCAGACTTCGCATCCACGTCGCCGTGTAGCGACGCCAGGGCCGAACCCTATCCTGTGGCAGAACACGCAGCAGATTGCCCTAATAATAATGTCCGCCCGCTTCGGACTGCGCTTCGCGCAGCAAACCGCCCGACAATCCACCACCTCATTCGCCTCACGAACACCCTTTCAGTTGAGAAACCCCGTCTTTCGACGATGGCAGGGTACAGCCGCCAACCCAGCCGTCGAGGGCGCACCCCAGCAGAGTTTGTTTCAGAGGCTGTGGACCAGTGAGGTCGGGATCAGGACAGTACATTTCTGGTATGGCTCTGGCAGTCTCACATAACGATGGTGTGCATAGGTCTCAGTACCTAGCGGCATAGTCGGTCTGGTCTTCTTTCCCCCGATACTGACACCGGTCACCATGATAGGGCCCCTATCATGAAATGGGGTGTCGTCCTTGCTGGCGCATCAGACTTCCTCCGACCCGCTGAAAAATTGTCGTTGACACAAAACCTGGCTCTCATGGCCACGGGTTCCATCTGGACGAGATGGTGTTTCGTCATTCGACCCAAGAACATGCTGTAAGTCTCGCCTATGTTCCCCTGTGCCCATTTATCCGTGGGATATTCGACATATTTGACGGCGGGGTGATACTAACATTTATGCCAAACCACCAGTCTCGCCGCAGTCAACTTCTGCCTCTTCCTTGTAGGCCTCGTGCAGTGCAGCCGGATCTTCCTGTACCGCGCATCGCATGATGGAGGTGCGACGGCAGCCCTGAAGGAGATGGAGAAGGAGATGGAGAGTTCGGTGAAGGGGGTGGAGAAAAAGGTCGAAGCCAAGTTGTGAATGAGAGTGTGAGGGTCTGGGATGGACGTCGCTGTGCTGGGCAGGGAGTTACTGAGCGTGCTTCCGGGCCGAGGGGTTCATGGCTTCCTTCGAAAGGCGACGTTGCTATTGTTACGGGACTGGCAAGTCTGAGGCTTTCATTTCTCCTGCATGGGCCAGATATCCTTCTCAAGCTCCAGACCACCAATCCCAGGGCGACATGTTGGCTCTCGTGTATAGGATCTGTACCTGGAAAGAGCAGCGTAGACCCTTGATCCAGGGGCACGTGTGCAAATCAAAAGCATCCGATTTTGAATAAAGTACATACTGCGCAGAGCACAAGATCACTACATAATACATATGCGAGTCGACAGGTTCTTGCCGACGACGTAGAGACCCGTCTCGCCCCGTCTTTCCAAGCCCCTTCGCATCATGTCTTGATCTTACCGTTTACCGCAACGCCACCGCCGTGAGTAGGACCCTCGGTGCATGTTGCACAGCCACTTTGTACGTATCCTCTCACCTGGGACAGCAGTTGCCACTTTCTGTTTCAGCTTCTTCTTGCCCATATGAAGCGGCGTCGGTCCAGAAGAGGCTTCACGGTAGGGTTTTCCTGCAGCCTCGCCACTTGTTATTGGTTGCGTGTGAGGCTGCAAATGGATGAGATCATGATCATGCATCCTTTGGGTCCTTTGTGCTCTGGCGTTCTGATCACAGCCATGGGTCAAAGAGCTCGGTCCATGGGGTTTGGCTGACACCAGCATCTGGGAGCGGATCATGGGGCCTGTCACTACAAGGACTTCAAAGGAACAACGGTCAAGTGACTTTGCGGGTCCGTCATCTCGTCCGGGTTCTTGCATGGCCGTTATTGGCACGGATGGCTGTTCCACAGTCCCCGAATCTTCATTCCCAACAACTCGCACTGAGACAAGATCATCGTGCTTTTGCCCAATTAGGCGGCCACTGCACGCGGGATCGTCCTCTCCAATCGCGATCCCTCGTCCGATGAGCTTGATCGAGTTCAGAGGAAACGAGGAGGCGGAGGAAGACGAGGAGGAGCAGGCCCACGATGAGACACCAAACACCAGCCATCGATCGGTAAAACACAGGTACACGTACCAAGACACGTACTCAGCCTCAGCCGAGCAACTCTTGGGCTTCCAGTCTGTTCTCCGTCGGCCCTCACACCAGCCCACAGACCTTTTCAACACCTGTGCATCGCTGGCTACTTCTATCGCCTAGAAACTCTCCTGGAGACCACGCCACAGACGAGACCGGACGGCAGATCGACTCCTCTCACGCCCTCGATGCTCCTGTGACGTATATAATGCTCGATTGCATTCCGCGCTGAATTCTTTGTGTGGATTTCGAATCGACGCCGTCATTGTTCGATCGAGTCTCCACCTGGCTGCATCTCACATATCGCACTCGCATCTCGCAACCATCTGCATACCGCATATCTTGACTTTGTCCCGCGTTCGGCTCCAATCTTGAAACCAGCTCAAAGCCAGATCTATCACGACATCGACCCTGCATTCAGCACCAGGCAAAGGCCTCGATCACTTAAAGCCATATCCCTCGTTGGGGCCTCGTACTGCCCCTTCGACACCATGATCCGTTTCCCAACCTTCCGCTTCACCGGTAATCCTGAAAACCACTCGACAGCACAGGAGTCTTTGCGGAATATTCTGAGGAAAGCATCTGAAGCGTCTTCGACAGACCAGTCGTTTGAGGACGGAGGCAGGCAGAACAAAGAAAGAACGAGCTCTATATCAACCACGTCCACTTCTGGCACCAGTGCGAGGACGTCGGCTTCCAGGAGTAGTCAGTCTTCATCGACCTCGGGCCAGTTCGGTTTCTTCGTTGCTCGGTAGCATTTACGAAATCTAGTCGACATTCACGCACTGCATCCACAGCTCGACCAGTTTCATTGCGCTGTGTTTTCCGCAGGAGGTTAGGACGATGCCCAGTTCCAAGGGAAACCCCACGAATCCTGAACTGCGCGAGAAGATCAAGGAGGAAGTCATGAACATGGAGAAAGGTTTGTAATCTCCCCGGTTTCACGGGTGAATCCTTGTTCCCCCTATCCAGGAAATCGTTGCCCCTTCCTTCGCCACCTTTTCCTCCACCCTGCTATTTGGCTGACGCCCTGTGGGCTTAACATCAGGTGGAGGCAAAGGATCATGGTTCGCCTGGAAAGCCAGCGAACTGGCACGGCGGTACGAGGCGGCTGGAGGCGATTACGAGGGTACTGGGGATAACAACAATAAGGCGCAAAAAGGCAAGCCGGAAAAGAAGGAGTAATTAAGGGAAAATAAGTTGGGTGCATTAAGTAGAATGGAGCACCGAGCAGCCATTATTATTGGGCTCTTAACCTCAGCGACCGTCTAAACTGGAACCATGCCCGTTGCCATTGATAAATCTCCTTCCGCCCTCAGCCCCTCGGAGTATTAATATTACTCTAGCATCAGTCATCGCGCTCCCAAGTCGGTGCCATTTCCTTTCTGGTTCACACGCCCAACCGACGACACGCGCTCGCCGACGAGGCAGCTCCCTTGATGGCTTGCAACACATCAGTCGCTCCGGGCACCCTCCAGAATCCGTCTCGTTGCAGCCGGCTACATACTCGACGCCATTGACTGGGATGACGATGACAATTCCCGCCTCGGTGATGCATCATGTGTACTTGTGTGCTCCGAGTCTATCAAGGCCTCCCACATCGTGGCGACCTCGGATGCGTCAGACTGATCTACTATTTGAGCACAGCAGCTCTCTCACGCTCGCTGAGCGTCTGTCTCGCAACGTAGGGCAAGTCAAAAGGTAGCTTAGTCTCACAGACGGGGTTCCGCCGGTGGTAGGCCGAAGAAGAGGACACCAAAGGGAAGAACCTACGCTTTACAAGTTCCATATCGTTGCCAGTGCGGTCTCTGAGATTGCCTCTCGGAGCCAACTGTTCTCCCAACCAGCCTTGTGCATTTCGACAACGTTACGATGGCTGACTTCAAAGATCACTACGAGGTGGTCATCTGCGGTGGAGGGCCGGTGGGCTTGTTGACGGCCTACGGCCTGCAACGTATGGGTATCGAAACCTGTGTCATTGGTAAGAACGACGCTTCGCCTGCGGATCGGGAGGAGGTGGAGGGAACCATTTCTGTTCATTTTCCCCTTCATTTCTGCCCTCTGCTAACTATGGCCTTTTCATTCATACGGATAAAGAACGACTCGAAAAGCACAAGCTGCCCATGTACGGCCGCGCGTGTACAATGCTCCCCCGCACCTTGGAAATGCTCGACCAGTACGACCTTCTCACGCGCCTCAATCAAGTGGGCTTCGTGTCCAGGAGTGCCGTCAATTATGATAAGGACGGGAATAGAGACAGCAGGCGGGGTATGCGGCATGTCTTTGACGCCATGCAAGGGCATACCTTTGTGGATTATATGCTCAACATCCGATTGAAATACACGGAGGACATTGTGAAGGAGGAGTACGAGAGAATTGGTGGAATCGTGGCCGGGGGATGGGAGGTGGTGAATTTGACCATACCGACGGACCACACCGATCCTGAGAACACTCACGCACGTCCTGTCAAGATTGAGGTAAAGAATGCTAATACTTCAGAGACGCGGACACTTGCTGGGTGAGTCGGTGCAGGCAGCCCCTTTGCTTCTCGGTTTCCGCCACCACCTACAGCATTTGTGAACGCCGCGGCGGACGAGCTAACTGTGAAATGCAATCCTCCAGAGAGTACCTCGTTGGGGCCGACGGTTCCCGCTCCATTGTCCGCCACCTCTCCGGCATCTCGTCGACAACAGACAGCACAGCCCTCCGCTGGGTGCGCATCGACGGGGTCGTGGAGACGGACATGCCAGACTCCCGGGAAGGCTTTGCGACTCTGGAATCGCCCACGCACGGCAACGTGCTGTGGGCGGCTCTAGACCACGGCCGTTCGAGGGTGGGATTCGCGCTTTCGCGGGAAATGATGGCGAGATATGGCGAGACCATGACACAGGGACAGGCTGTCGAGGAAGCGAAACTGGCTCTCCGGCCGTTTGCTCTCGAGTTCAAGTGCGTGGATTGGTATACTGTATACAAGTAAGGCCTCCCCCTTTGATATAATGTGAAGGTCTTTTTCTTGGTATGGGCATTGGATCGCGGGCTGGTATCTACACAACGCTGACCCGGAGACCACCAAACCAAACAGCGTGCGACACTCCGTGGCCGACACCTTCGTGAAGAACCGGATCTTCCTCGCCGGCGACGCCTGCCACAGCCACTCGTCGGGGACCGCGCAGGGCATGAACACGGGCGTCCACGACGCCTTCAACCTGGCGTGGAAGCTTGCCGGGGTACTGAAGGGGTGGTATCGCGCCTCGATTTTGGAGACATACGACAGCGAACGGCGGCCCGTCGCCCAGCACCTGATCCAGCTGGACAAGATCTTCTCGGCCCTGATCTCTGGGACTGTGCCCGAGGAGCTGGCCGTCGCGGGGGGACTCTCGTCGACGGACCCGAGCGTGCTGTTCACCAAGGCGCTGGAAGAGAACGTCCAATTCAACATCGGGCTGGGCATCCGGTACGGCGAGAACACGCTGAACGTGGCCACGAAGTCGGCCTCGGTGCCCTGTGGCTGGCGCGCGCCCGACGTCCTGGTCCACGCGCCCGGCGCGAGGATCCCCACGAGGCTGCATACGGTGATGAAGAACGTGGGTCTGTTCTGGGTGCTCGTGTTTGCCGGCGAGCCGGCTTTGACCGGTCAGAAAGTGAAGGCGCTGAGAGGATATATCGACGGCGACGGCATGAAGCGCGTTCTCACCAGGCGCCGCCACCGCCGCCGCGGCGATGGCGCTGCCGTCGTTGCCGCGAACGACTCCAAAGGCCAAGGCGAAGCCGAATGCGACAGAGTGCGCCTCGTGACCATCATCGCCGGGAACAAACCCCAGGCCGACGAGGCGCTGGGCGCGGCCCGGTTCGGCGATGCATACTACGACCACGACTCGATGGCGCACGCACGGTATGGGGCCAGCGTGGGCAGCGGCGCCGTGGTCGTGGTCCGCCCGGACGGCATCGTGGGCTTTGCGGCGCCGCTGGACTGCGGGCCCGATCTGGGTGCGTACTTTGCGAGGTTCCTGACGTAGCTGTGTATGACCCGTAGCATAGGTATGGAACTGCCTGGGTACGAGGATGTCTATCTCCATGGACCAGGGATCAGGCTAGAGACAGAACGGGGTCGGTGGGAATGATGGCATCTGGAAGGGGAGGCCGCATATTGACAGGATGGAGTACGGAGTTTACTGTACCGAGTATTATATGTAGGTAACACTCCGCAAATGGCTCCGTATGTGGACAGAGTTTGTAGGTAGGCACGAAATCAAATCGCATCACTTGTATCGCATGAAGTATTTCCATACGTACGCAGTAGAGGCGTACATGTGTGGCTGAGGTGCCAAAATCCCCACAGTTCATTCCTCGACATTCCAAGCATTCGACATTACATAGGTTTCTCGTTTCCTCTTCTCTTTCCTGCTGGTGGCACTGTTAGGGAAAAACGAAAACACTCCCCCATCCTTCTCTGGGCTCTAAACTCATTTCGAAGGCCGTTGCAAGAGAATAATGTGGCTGGCCGTCAAAGGGACAAAATACAGACAGAGAATCTTCCAAATATAACATCCCCACATCATCTTTTTTTTCTTTTACATGACCACACAATCCCCATCGGTCTGCCTGTTAACGTTCGATCGCGACATTCGTGTCTTTTGCTGCTTGGGTCCTCCTCTTTTTAGCTCCTCCAGCCTTTCTCGTGCTTTGGTAAAATTCTGTGCTAAAGCCCATGAATTAACCCCCACTGCGTCGAGACGTAAAAAGATGACATGGACTCACCAGATGCCCTGTAATACCAACGTTTTGCTTCGTCAATATCCCCCGCCGTGCCGATACCTACCTCGTAGAAGTATCCCATCGCGTACTCTGCCTTCGCAAGTCCCGAACTGGCGGCTTTCCGCGCCCACAAGAACGCCTCGGTATCACTCTGCGTAAGCAATGGTTCCGATCCTGTCAAGTACCAGCCGCTCAACGCCAATTCTGACTGGTGCTCCCCTTGGGCGGCTGCCCGGGTGTACCACGCTATACTTTGACGAGCGTCGATCGGGCAACCGAGCAATCCGTACTCGTATGCCGATCCAAGTCGGAACTGTGAGTATTTGTATCCGAGTTCTGCAGCTTGTTGGAACAGCTGAAAGGCGTATTTCTCATCGCGCACGATATGGTCCGTGGACGAGGCCGATTCATAAAGTAAGCCCAACTCATGCAACGCATGAGGATTGTCCTTGTCGGCGCGTTCAGCGGCCCTCTTCAACCATGACACTGCTTCACGTGGATTTTTCTGTTGCCCAAGCAATCCCTTCAACAATATCATCCCCATCTTGTACATAGCTGGGGTGTCTCCCAATGTTGCAGCTCTTTTGTACCATTGCATCGCCTTCAGAGGGTCGCGTCGTGTTCCGCCGCCTTCTTCAGTCCCCAATTCACAGCAAACTGCTACTCGATAGGCACTTTGGGGGTGATTGAGCTTCGCTGCCGACTGGTAGAGGGAAAAGGCCTCTTTCGGATCCACAGCAAGTCCCAACATTCCTTGTCCATAGCAATCGGCCAGATAGAACATTGCGTCAGGATAGTTGGCTGCCACCAATTTCTTGATCAGTTTGTGGGCATCGAATATGTACTTTTCGCGGTTCTTTTGTGTTGTTTTTTGGTCCGCCGTCCCATTCTCGTCTGAAAGAACCCTGGCTGCATCGACCATCTTCTTTGCCAGCTTCAGACCGAGAGCATGGTCGCTGGGATTTCGACTGTACATCTCGCGGAGACTGTTGAGCTCTTGAGCAGTAACGGGCGGGGAAGGACCTGGAACCTCTCGCCCCGGGTTATGCTGAGCCGGGGGCGTTTGACCCGATGGATACGCATTGCTGTCTTTCAGTCCCGCTCTTACTGGTGTAGGATGTGCTGGTAGTGCATCCGGGTTGCTTTCTGCATTTGGGGTCGGATAATGCCTAACGGGCACAGGATGTGCGGAGTTGGAAGCGTTGGATCTGCCAGGGCCGGCGTAATTGTCTTGGGACGCCTTGCGCAATGGTGGGCCTTGTCCATACGCACGTTGATACTGTTGACTCTGCCCTGGGTACCCATAACCTTGATCATACGATATGGGGCCCACAGGCGCTGTGGGTGCTGAAGGAGCTCGGTTCTCAGGCCCGTAATCCTGATCATATGGATTCATCATTTCGTAACTTTGTTGCGGTGGCCGTTGTGCATTGCTTGTGTGGGGTCGGACAGGATACTGATCTTGACTGAACGATCGATAGGGTTGGCCGTTGTTTGGCAGCGGAGGTCTCGAGGCATTACTTTCCATGGACGCCTTCATACCGTTCCGACTGGCAGCTCGAGGCGGCGGATACTGCGGGCCGGGCAGCTCCTGAGGTTGTATATCCCCGTATGCGCCCCTTAGAGGCCCTGTTGAGCCAAAATTGTCCTGTCCACCGTACACTCCACGATAGGATGGAGCTTGTGCAGAGTTGTCATTTCTGCTAGCCGGTACTGGTTGGGAAGTGCTGGGCAAATCGAACGAAAACTCTGCGAGTGGAGAAGTGGTCTGGTTTGGAGGAGGCATAGACTGCGTAGTGTCAATCTGACCTGGAAAGGCACCCGGCACTTGATAAGTTGGTTTCTGATAGATGTGCTGGTCAAGACCCGATTGTTGATTTGCAATCATGTAGTCCTCGCTCTTCTCATTTGCCCGGGTCGGAATAGCATCAAAGTCTGGGATTTCATTATTTCTCGTTTGACCGACTTCAGTGGTACCGTTAGGAGGAAAATCTCGATATGAGTTGGCATGATAACCTTGCTGAGGCGCAGGTCTAGGCTGACTTCCTTGCGGCACACGATCAATTGGTGAGATATGGGCCCTTGACTGTGGAATGTAGTCCGAGGCATAACCCTCGTCATGAATGTAATTGTTGCCGCGACGATCTGGGGGTGGATAGTTGCCTGGAGCGTTGTTGTTGGCCCGGGAGTTGAAGTCCTCCATCCCACCCTGAGGGCCAGGACGAGGTCCATTTCGATTCATAGGCGCCGGGGGACCTCGCGGAGGTCCTGCCGGCCGCATCCGTGGACTGTTTATCCCTGCTTGAGGTCTGGCAACTGGTGGCTGTTGATAGTTCATCTCTGGCGAACTTCGACCGGGAGGCATTGGGTAGCCTTGCATCGGAAGCGGCGGCTGCCCGATATCTGGGTGACGGCCATGCCGGTCGTGCGAAGTACTAGGGCGAGGTGCTTCTTTTCTCTGACTGTTGGAAGTATGAGGTCGGGTTTCAGGTCCGCCGCTGGGACGGTGTTCATTCATGTTGAGATTTGCCATTGCGTGGTCCAGACTGGCGTGTCTCTCGTGCCTCACCCTATCATCCGGCTTCTTCTTGGGAGGGAAAGCCCCAAATGGATTGTCCCAGGCCAGATTTTTGGGGGAGGTAGGTTCAGTCAAGATGCGGTCGCGGGCTATGAAGCGTCAGCGTTCAGTATCAGTCGGAAATCATTCTTCAATCCTTACGCCTGGGTCTCTTTGGTGGAGTGGAAGGCTCCGACCATTGGTTTCTGGGTGGTCTCTGGCCATCAGAATAGCTGTGATCTGGCGGCGGAGGTCTGCCTTGCCCATGGGTGCGATATCGCTCGTCATATTGATATTGGCGACCAGGAGGAGGACCTTGATCGTACTGATCTGGCGGCGGGGCCCGTGAATAGCCCCCGCCATTTTCATGATATCGTGCTTCATGGCCATTTTGCTGGGGATATTGATGTTGGGCTTCCCACTGCCCATTTCGATCGTAACTCGCCGGCGCCGGCGCCGGACCTGGGGCGTAACCATTACGACTCTGTGGATAGTCATTATAGCGTTGATGTTCCTGGTTATAAGAGCCCTGGCTTCTCCCACTCTCTTGCCATTGTCTCTGGTTGTTTCCGCTGTCGTATTGGTACGAGGGCGCTGGATTTTGCTGCCATTGCTGGCGATATTGATTGCCAGCCATCATCGTGAAGAAAGAGGATCTGAGCCTGGACTAATTCTGCTGCAGACAGACTGTAGTTCCTAAACCCGCACCCACGCTAGGCGCTCGACTGTTGACCGAAGAGGATCGTGAAAGCAGGCGTGACTGGCGATCAAGTTGGAATTGAAGTTTCGCATTGCCGTGTCATGCACCAAAGCTGGCCACGCGAGGAACACAGGAAAAGGCCGAATAACAAGCTCCAGCCACAGCCAGACGACAAGAATCGACGGCCGAGTCGGACGCACGGAATGAAGGCGAGCAAAGGGAAAGATGCAACAATCGCAACAACAGTCGCAGAGACCAGAGAGGTGCAGAGTGGTGTCAAGTGAGTGAGGTGATGTTTGTTCCGCTTTGACCTCCTTGCGGGTTGGTTTAGGCTGGTATGGCCCCCGAGTCCCAAACTGCCGCTAACGGCGCCAACTGCACAGGCTAGGCTTACTTAAAACCCCCGGAGGGGCTCGCCGGGCATCGGTGCGGGAGATGACCCGGCTCGCCTAAGGCCTTTGCTTAACTTCAGGGGGGGGAGGGGCGAAGAGGTACCTTGGTGGGCACCTAGGAGAGGGCCCTGGATGAGAGATGAGAATAACACCGTACTTAGGTACTGGGTAGGTACTTGGTACTCGTAACTGCACCCAGAACACCAACAAGAGCAATAGTCCAACGTAATATTTTGGCATCCTTGCCACAGAAAAACTTTCGGCACTGTCCGTTTATTCTCATGCTAGTTGTTGAATTCTCGACAGATCTACATGTACGCCTTGACAATGTCGACACGGACAAAGAACGAACCCGACTCTTCATGTCAGGCACAGGCCCATGATTCGCCGCAACCAGTCCAGCTCAGTCCTCTCCGAGTCTCTGGCGTCCGACCTCCCGACGATCGCCCGCTAAATGCAGCCTCTCGATCGGGGTTTGCGGGCTGCGAAGCCACCGATCTCCGCATAACGAGAAGCGGCCCAGACTGCTGGGCCACAGAGATTCTAGAAAGGCTGCTCTCAAAGGCGGTAGGCTACTGGGCTGTGCACACAAAGATGAGAGAGATCAAATGT